CTGTTATACCGTTTGACTCGAACTACTTAAAATTTATTTGATTAGTTATTTTGAATAACTATGCATTAATGTTTATATATTGTTGTTTGGAAAATATATCAAAGTTGAATAAACACGTAATATTAACAAATGATTAATAAGAACATTGTTGTAAGTTATCTAATTATATTATACATTTTATAGAAAAAAAAAATAAAATTAATATGTATATGGTGATTTTTTATTAAAAAAAACATCTAACTTATATTTAGATACAAAGCAGCAAACGATTTTGCTACGAAACCAACAGTTGGCTCCATAGTAGAGTCAACCTTCTATATACAACAAGTAAACCTACCATATGTTTTGATTACATAAATAACACTAATATAATTTTATTAATATAGTAGGTTTACTTGTTGTATCTAAAAGGCTGACTCTACTATAGAGCCAACTATTGGTTTTATAGCAAAACCGACAAAGCAAATCTATACTACTATAAAATAGTTGTTGGAAAGGTACATAAATAGTAACTTTAATTTTTTAATTAAATGATTGACTTCCCTTTTTAAGGAAATATTGTAAATATAATTTTTATTTTTAAGAAATTGTGTGAAACAAGTTATTAAATGTCCAATTTGAAATTTTGAGTATTCAACCACTGTTATTTTTTATACAAAATTTTTACATTTTAGATTCTATCATTTCAAATATCTACCATTTGTCAAAGTAAATAATGTTTTCAATTGACTTTTCGTATTTTTTCATCTCTCTGCTCTCGCGACCGAAAACCCTCGTCGGCGCTTGGCCTCTCCTATTTCCTACTGATTTGCCTTCCTTGTCGCCGGCATATGCTAGGCCAGGAGTCGTCTAGACCGCCCTCCTCCTCCCCCTGAGGTTTCGCATCTCCAATTCACTGTAGATGGCGGAGATTAGGATTCCTATTCCCGTCAGAGATTGGGGCTTTCGCTGGCGGCAGCGCCTCTCCCGGTCGGCAATGGACCTGAGTCGGGATCCTATCTACTGACACAGCCTATGTCACGTCTGGAGGAGGTAAGTCCCTTGCTCTCGCCCTTGGTTGCTCTGGCTGGAATTGGCCGTTCTCGGCGGGGCTCTGCCTCTCTGGTGGGGCTCCGATACCGGGTCGCCGGCAAGT